TCAGGGAAGGGAGCAGGGAGTAGACCCTACATAGATGTCCGATGCCTAGAATCACATATTTGATTGCCATAGCAGCATGCTCGTCTGTTCCAAAGAGGCCATTCCTGGTTCTCTCTGTCCTGCCATCTTTTCAGAGTCCTCACTTTGAAACATTTTTTCTTTTTCCAAAACGACAAATCTTAAGACACCATTAGCACAGATTACATATCGACGGCTAGCGTGGATGACAGAAGGCAAGGAGCTCCTGTAGGCATCATCTCTGGCCCAGGACTCAGCGTCCCTACTTGAGCAGGAGCCTCTAGCCCAGAATAGCAACATTCATGAATATGTAAATATATCTGGCTCATCCTCATCTCAAGATTCACAAACCACTGTAGTGGTCCCATGTAGGGTCAAATAGTGTTCATTGTAACAGACATCTTTGGGGCCGTTATTCTGTCCACTGAGGTCTGCGTACATGTGTATACACAGGGACAGAGACATTGATTCTAACTTTACATAAATGACCTCAATCTATATAGGAAAGCACTTTTAACATATTTCCTGCGTCTCCCAGAGAGCCTTTCTTTCCTGTGGCTGCATGCTTCTGGCATTTTCTTTAACACCCTGGCATAACTCTGCCCACTACACCTTTAGGTGTTTCCTGCCTCTTGCTTTAATGGCCTGCTTACTCTCTGGTGCCTTGGTCTTCTGCCTGTGAATACTAAACACTGGTCCAGCACCTTAAGTAGGTCCTGATCTGGATCCCTGGGCTAACCCTGCCCAGGCACTGCCTTATTCTCGAGACCCAGGGCTTTGCTCTTCGAAATAGGGTCACATCTAAATACCACTTCCTAGTCAGAAAATACCCCCCAGGGCCACTTTTGGATAATGCTGACCACAGGGCGGTGGGGTAGCGTGTCAACCTAGTCTTCACTTGCTCAAGTCAGTTTTAGTCTTTCATGCAGGGTGCAGTGCTGTTTCTGGGAATGTTTTGTTTCATGTATTGTCTTCTAATGTGGAGACCAGATGTCTGCCCACCTTGGGCTTGTGCAGACTCTAATTGCTACTAGGTTACAAAGTAGCCTTAGGGAAGCACACCACCTGTGAGGCTCAGGAAGGACCCTCCATCCCCCTTGAGGTTGTCTCTTTCAAACTGAACAGAAAAAGTGCTTGGGGGGATGTCTTTAAGAAATACCTGCCTTGCTGTGTGTGCCTAGGGCACCTGTTCCTAGACACTGATGTACCCAGCTGGGCAGCCCTCAGACAAAGATCAAAGGAGGACCGCTTCAGCTTGAACTCCGTTCTACTTGCTATGTTCATCCCTGGTACAGTTGCAATGCTCGTCTTGTAACTGTTGCCTGCTAACGTCCCCCTCAACCTTTCTGTGTAGGTTTTGCCAGATTCTTTTCTTTGCTGGGCTGTTGGGTTTCCCTCTGCTCTTTGCTTCCGACCCAACTCAAGTCTGTCTTCCACCGGAGACTTTGCAGTGTATTCAGATTGCTGGTCTACCGGAACTCAAACTGTTCTCTCATTTTATGGTTTTTATTGATACTGTTTTTTTTTTGTTGTTGTTGGTGGTGGTTTTTTTGTTTTGTTTGTTTGGGTTTTTTTGTTGTTATTTGCTTTGTTTTGTTTTTTGTTTTGTTTTTTTGCCTTTCCTCTTTTCTGGGTTGGTTATAGTTTCTCAGTTCCGAGAGGACACTGAATATCTCTTAACATGGCTCCATTCAAGGCTTCACAAAACTACCCTCTAAGGCCTCATTCCACCATAGACTGGTGCAGCTCCTCTCCCATAGCTCAGCGGAGCCAGGCCTAGGCAGATGTGATGAAACTCTCCACTGACTGCTTAGTTCAAACAGCTTTCGAGCCTTTTCCACAGCAGTTTAGATGGTCTTAATGCTGCTTCGACTTGTCCCTTGAATTCTGCAGCTATGTCCTAGATAACCATTGGGTACCTGGGATGGGTCCAGCACAGAAGATGCTCCTGTGTCCCCACACAGCTGCTGAGTGTGTTTGTATCGGAATAGACTCCAGAAGTTGGAAACAGGGAGGGGCTGCCCCATTTCCCTCTGACTCAAGGGAAACGTTCGGTTTTAAACACCAGTTTCTCTAGAAAGTTCCACAGGAGTTGCTTGGTGGGCAGTTGGGTATCTCAGAAATGTTACCCTCTTGAGCTGGATTGGAAGATCACTGACTGACATCTACCTGGGGTCTGGCAGCACCAGATGCACATCTGGCGGAACTCCAGCCTAGGTTCTGTGGGACAGAGCAGCCACAGCCTGAGTTCTACAGGATTTGGAGGCCAGAGAGAGCAAGGACTGGCTGCCACAGCCTGAGCCCTGCATGCAGCAGCCCCAAGAGGGTGTGGGGAAAACCAGTGGTCAGCCCAGGGATGCACAGTCCCAGGGCTAGCTATATCTCTGGAAGAGCCAGTTGGCAAGATGTGGCGCCCTGGATGTCAGAAGTACCAGTCATTCAGGGTGACAGGCTTGTTCTCTTCCATTAGAGAAATCCCTGAACAGCCCAGTAGATACTGGGCTAGTTCGAGGCCTTTCTCCAGGGTAGGCAGACATCAGGATTGGCCAGGAGTCTTGCTGAGGGACGAGGTGTCTCCTGCTTAGAGGTATTCAGTGAGGGAGTGTGCCCTCTTTCCCTGGGGCTGCCAGGGTCCCTGTTAAGGGTCATTTTTCTCGTGACATTTGCCTTTACTGAGCCCTTGCTGAAGGCTAGCCCTTGCCAAATGGTTGCACTGTCTGCCTTCAATGTTCTCAAACCAGGCAATGCTTGGTGAGTTTACCTGTGAAGGGAATGGATTGGCTGTAGTCCAGGGAGGGACGCTGTCAGGGGCTCCTGTATCATCGGGAGCCTGGTGCAGTCATTCCACTGGGCACACCAGACATCCTTACTGCTGGTCCCTCCAGAGTCAGGCCTTGGCTGTGCTTGGGTGGGGGTGGAGGTGGAGGTGGGGCTGGGGATGCTGGCTGCAGTTGGTTCTACAGGAAGCTAAAGGGCTTGTGTGTTAAAATACAGATTTTCAGAACTCTACCCACTCACTTTAGGGAAGGTAGGCTTTTAACCATGTAGGACTCCCATTCCTGGATCTGAGTTCAGATGAGTGACTAGACAGGCCTTAGGGGGGCCAGCCTCCTGCAGCAGCCCTCTGATCTCTCTGAGCATGGCACAGACCTTGCTCCTTACAGGGGAATGAACTTCCTGGCATAGGCATTCAGCCCCTCCCCCCACTCACCATTGCTGTAACCAGAGACCAGGGCCCAGTGATCTTATGGCCCTGGCATTTGGCAGCTCCTCTTAACAGAGCCCAAAAGAATTTCATGGAAAGGAAATGGAAGGACTTGGGAATAGCTGGCTGCAGGACCCAGGGGTCATCACGTAACACACTGGTGCCTTCCAGCCCAGGAAGCCAGCGGCTGTAGAGTCCTGTGTGCTTGCTAATGGAGCACCAGGGATTTTTTTTTTTTTTTTCCGTTCAGAAGGAGGAGCAGAGTGGCCACGTGTCCAGAGTGCAGGCAGCATAGCTGACTTGGTTTTTCTAAACTTAGGTGCCCGCTGTGTTCTAGCATTTCTGGTGAGAAGAGAACATTGTAACAGCCGTGATTGTGTTGGACGACTGATTGTCCAGGAATGGCCTGCTAATCTTCTCTGCTCTCTGCTGAAGGGCTGCAGACACTCAGTCCTTGCCAGCCATGGCCCCACCAAGCTGGGTCCATTCTGCACCCAGCAAACACGATGTCTGGTCAGCATTCGGGGCTTAGAGAGTACGTGTGACAGGGTGAGGCTTTTTGGAGATCCTCGCAGCACATTGAGCTGTCCATGTGGCACACAAAGCTGTTCTTTGTCCCCTGAGGGATACGCTCGATGGCAGCTCTTGCCTTCTGGTTTCAAGGGGCTTGTTGACTTAGCTTGTCCTGTGAAGTTGGGAGTTCGGGATTTCCCGCCTCCTAGTCTGTAGAGCCTGACCTGAAGCATGGTGTTCTTGCATGCATGCACACTCCCTGGCATGCCTGCCTCCAGCAGCCCCTTCGTAGAAGAGCTCTTTTTTCCACCTTCCCTTCTCCCTCTTGCTCCAGCCCTGCTCGCTCCAGCCCTGCTTGCTCCAGCCCAAAGGTTTTTTTTTTGTTTATTTATTATATGTAAGTACACTGTAGCTATCTTATGACACCTCATAAGAGGGTACCAGATCTCATCATTGGATGGTTATGAGCCACCGCGTGGTTGCTGGGATTTGAACTCGTGACCTCCGGAAGAGCAGTCAGTGCTCTTAAATGCTGAGCCATCTCACCAGCCCCTTGAATAGCTCTTGATGGTGTACGCTGGCCCCTGCCCAAGTGCCTCCTCTCAGGCTTTGTAATGCTAACACCGCTGGAGTGTATTCAGTGGGTTGGGCAGGCTTGCACATCTGCGTTCAACTCAAGACGTTGCAAGGACTGAAGCGAGTGTGTGAATTAGGTCACTGTGGAGTACATCAGAAGAGTGGCGAGGAATCTGGGAGAGTTTGTACAGGGCTGTGGCTGCCAGCTTTCATGTGTCACATGTGTCACAGCGTGGTGGCCAACTTCAGGGAGCAGAAATGGCCAAGGAAGAGCTGTGCTGTCTCTCTGTCCCGTAATATCCCACCTTGTAGAGAACCAGAGCGAGGGTTCGATATCAACGTAGAAACCATAATGAGAGAATGAAACCACAGAAAGCTAACTTGGAAGCCTGGTTATTTGAGTCTTCCAAGTTGGATTTATCACCTAGCTGGCTCCGAGAGCGGGAGTACTGTCTGTGTGCTGCCTCCTCTCTCTTTGTAGTAGAGAGAGGTCTTACTCCACGTCTGTGCTTTTCCTGCAGAGTCTGGGTCTGGAGGGTGGGAGACTCCACACCCCAGTTCTTCACGCCCATCTTGAGATTGACTGTGAACCCATGGGGCTGGTTTCATGCCCCGTGTCTCCCAGGATGCCACTGTGTTCTGGTCTGATCCTCTGCAGTCACCTCACCAGATGTCCTTCTCTTTGCAGAGAATGTTGCGGAGGAGGTGGGGCTGCTGCAGCTTCTTGGAGACCCCTTACCCCAGCAGATCTCACAAATCGACGACCCTCAGGTCGGGCCGGCCTACATCTTTGGACCAGACTCCAACAGTGGCCAAGTGGCCCGGTACCACTTCCCTAAACTCTTCTTCCGGGACTTTTCACTGCTGTTTCATGTCCGGCCAGCCACAGAGGCCGCAGGGGTGCTGTTTGCCATCACAGATGCCTCTCAGGTGGTAGTCTCACTAGGTGTGAAGCTCTCAGAGGTCCGAGATGGACAGCAAAACATCTCATTGCTCTACACGGAGCCCGGTGCCAGCCAGACCCAGACGGGAGCCAGCTTCCGCCTACCTGCGTTTGTTGGCCAGTGGACACACTTCGCGCTCAGCGTGGATGGAGGCTCTGTGGCTCTCTACGTAGACTGTGAAGAGTTCCAGAGAGTGCCATTTGCTCGGTCCACACAGGGTCTGGAGCTAGAGCATGATGCTGGCCTCTTTGTGGGTCAGGCTGGGGCAGCAGACCCTGACAAGTTCCAGGTAACCTGTGCTGTCCTACTGTGTGCTGATCCAGGGGAGGTGGGGCCAATGGGGACAAGAGAAAGCGGGTTCCTCCAGTTGATGCTGCAGCCTGAGGCAATAGCCCAGACTTCCCCATTTGTGGGTGGAGTGGCATCTGGTCCCCAAGCTTTTGTTGTTTGATGACTTGAAGTGTCACAATGGGCTTGTGAATTCTCTGAGACCCCAGGGTCTATAAGATAGCATCTGGAGGCTATGTCTACCCATCCTGAGTTGATCCAGACCACCTTCTCAGGCATGAGCTGGGGTCAATGGAAAGCTGGCGGCACCAAATTTAAGATGAGGAGAATGTGGAGTTTAGTTAGGGCTCAGCTATTCCTTCTGAAAAATGGGCACTCAGGCAATTTAGTGAAAAAGTTAACAAGACAGTCATGGAGAAAGATCTAGAATTCCAAGTCCATTTGGACTAACCTGTTTCAAAACAACAAGAAAAATTACTCATTTAAAACTAGCCAGAGTAGGGTGGTCTTTCTTTGGCTCCACACACAGTGGAAGGAGCACCCTGCTGGCCCTGGGGACAGGAACTTCAGAACTGCTCTGCTTAGCTCAGCCATAGCTGTCTATTATTTTAATGAAGGCCTGTGGCGCTCTCCCATGTTCCTTAGGAAAGTCCCTCACTTCTGGGGCCCTCATTTCTTGTAGAAGGGCACTCCTCCTGGAGATCCCAGCTGGGATCCCAGCCTCCTGGGAACAAGTGTGTGGGGACCCTAAGCTGGCACTGACTCATGGTTCCTGAATTCAATACACCAGCCGTCAGCAGCTGGGACGCCCCTGCCCAACCCAGACAGGGGTCTCTGTGTGTGTAAGGAAGGCCATGTCCCCAAGGGACAGATGCTCAATTATGACCCAGACAAAGACCTCCTGTTGTAAGTTGTGCTAAGTCCTATGTCCACAGCTCTCAAAGCTGACCTTCTGCCCTCTGGAAGGAACTTTTACTCATGGGGTTCAAAAGCTACCAGGACTTTGGCATCCAACTAGGCCTCTTTGTGTTTTCCTTCTGATCTTCAAACATGATTACCAGAGTTGAGTCATTATTTCCAGAGTGGGGCATTTGTGTCATACCCATCCCCTCACTGCCCAAGGGGATGGCAGGCCCCACAGGCTCTGCGTGTCTCCTGCTTCAGCAGCAGAGCTGGGCGAGGAACAGCGAGCCTGAGACTGCAGAGGGCAAAGCCTCACACCCAGTGGTGCTGATGGAGGGATGCAGCCCCCCCGTGTGAGGTGGTCTCATCTCTGACTGGGCCTTGCCAGGCTTACATGCTGAATATGTAGACAAACTATAGCTAGGTGTCTTTATTTCTTGGTGTGTTTGTGAATGTACACTTTTTTTTTAAAATCTCCTTAGTGGTTTGTTGTTGTTGTTTTGTTGGGGAGAGTCCGGCTATTTCTTATTGGTTTATAGAGATTCTTTATATTTGAAAGACACTTATCCCTGGCTGTGTATGCATGCATTTTATTTCCCAGCCTATCATTTTTCTTTTCATTTATAAACAAGAATAGCGCTAGAACATTTAGCATGTTTCTTTGGTTAATTTGGGTCTGGAGAAAACACCCACAACCTTTGATATGAAAAACCTTTAGAAGGAGGGAGGCCAAGCACATTCAGGGACCCGTGCTGGTTCTGTGAAGATCATAGGCTCCTCCCCAGCTGACCTCAGCAGTCTGACCCTGCATGCTCCTGTCGGGTAGGTCTCAAGATCTTTTGCACAGATTTAAATCAGATGCCAACTGGAGAAGGGGGATGTGCTGGAGCAGTAGAAGACAGTTGGATTTAGCACAAGATGTTTGCAGGCTTGGTGCTGAGCTCTTTGGGGAAGAGTCACTGTGCACTGTGACTCACAACTTGACAAAAGCTAGCTTTTGGGAGTCAGGGAACTGGAGAGCCAGAGAGCTGGGAGCCAGATGGATGGAGAGTTGGCTTCCTCTGAGTCATCTCAGCTGAGGATGCTCTGTCCCACCTGCATCCACACACTGCCAGGGAGAGCCTGGCTGTGCCTCCAGCCTCCCTGGTGGTCCTTGCTGGGTAACAGTCCTCACAGAGTGTTGCCGTTTGTCTTCTTGCCTGTCCCTTTGAGGCAGTGGTCATGACCATTGGTCTATGCTATCAGGTTTTTTAAAGCATGACTTCCAACTGGACTATGTTTTAATACAGTACTGTTTGTTGTTTCATATGTCCTGTGGTTAAAATTCCTCTTGGCTTTATTTCTCCTGCCAGAGGTACCCCTACTTCTGTGTGGGGTGTTAGGGTAGATTAAACTCAGTGCTTCCCACATGCTGGGCCAGTACTTCCCATTGAACCCAGCCCTGCCCTGCTTTGTCTTAAGAGGTCCCTCATCTTCTTGGCTTAGGATTTCTTTTGTGGTTCTCTTTCAACTCCAGCACCCCTTGATCTGTTGTATCTGTGACTCCAGAGATCCTGCTAAGCATAGCTTTCCCATGCTGCTCATTCAGCTGTGAGGATCTCATGGTCAGCTTTCATTTCTTTCCTCTAGAATACAGCTCGGAGTTAAAAGCTCTTGGGGCTATGAATTTTCCTCAAGGTGCAGCCGTGGCTCTACTATGAAAGTAAATGAATGGGGCGGTGGTGGCGGAGCACACCTTTAAACTCAGTACTCAGAAAGTAGAGGCAGGCTGTCTTAGTTAGGGTTTCCATTGCTGTGAAGAGACACCATGGCCAAGTCAACTCTTATAAAGGACAACATTTAATTGGGGCTGGCTTACAGTTTCAGAGGTTCAGAATGGTATCATCATGGTGGGAAGCATAGCAGTGTCCAGGTAGACATGGTGATCTAGAAAGAGCTGAGTGTTCTGTATCTTGATCCAGAGGCAGCCAGAAGGAGACTGTCTTCCAGGATGCTAGGAGGAGGGTCTGAAAGCCCATCCCCCACAATGACACATGTCCTCCAACAAGGCCACGCCCACCCCAACATGGCCACACCTACTCCAACAAGGCCACACCTCCTAATAGTGCCACTCCCTGGGCTAAGCATATTCAAATCACCACACAGGCAGATCTCTGAGTTCAAGGCCAGCCTGGTCTACAGAGTAAGTTCCAGGACAGCCAAACCTATGACGAAAAAAAAAAAACACCCCCCTACCCACCAAAAAAGTAAATGATGTGTGTTCTGGGGCCATGAAGTTGCCCCAGCCATTAAGTTCGTGATATCAGGTCTGCAGTGTGAGGGGAGGAGCAGGCCGCAGAGATCAAACTCTGACTCTAGCAGTTCTGTCCCTGATCAAGGGACAATGGAGAACTGCCAGGTCTCCATTCAGTCCATCAATTTGTGTGCTTCCCAGCCATCTTTCTCATTGAGTCCTCTCAGTGTTCTCTCTTGTAAATCTCTGCTCACATCTCTTCCATTCATCTGAAGTGGGAGGAGCCTGTGGGAGGAGCCTGTGGGAGGAGCCTGTGGTGGTTACATAGCTACAGCCTATACGCAGTTTGGTTCTGTAACGATTTAAGAGACCAAAGGAGGCTGGCGGTCATGAAGTGGCCTGTTGGGACCTGGTCATAGGAGGGAAGACCTGAAGCCAGAGGCTCACAAAGCAGTGTGGGAGAATGACTATGACGGCAGTGGCCGGAGCCACCAGAGATATGAGGCATGGTTGGGTCATAGGTCAGCGGGAACTAGGCTGGCCATGTGAGGTAGAAAAGGGGAGGGAGGAAAAGGCTTGATGACTGTGAGGTTGAGAGAAAAGGGGTGGGGCAGAGAGGCCACCCTGAAGGCCACGGGGAAACCCAGATACAGTGTATGAGACAAAACCAGCCGATAGCCCCACATCATGGCTTCTGTCTCTGACCTCTGCTGGCTGGTACATCGTTCTTGCTGTAGCGGGTCTAGCTGAGCCCAGACAGCGTGTGTGCCTCCTCCTGATGCTGGCCAGTTTTAGTCACTTCCCCACAGCCAAAGCAGCATTGGTCAGCCGGGTAGGAAGAGCTTCACGTGGCACTCATCTGTAAATGTTGACAGTCCCCCCAGTTTCCAAGGTCCAGATTGCATAACTCTCGGGTCCAAGTCCGTTAAATATTTGCAGTGGGTCTTAGGCCCTTTGATGTCTTCCCCCATTGGAGATTGGGAAGACTCCTGGCAGGGGTGGAAGTGTCACAAGGGCAGGAGGCAAAGCAGAACTCAGTGCAGACTCAAGTCTTTTCTGCCCTCTTCAGGCCTTTTCCAGATGCAGGCACCCAAAAGCTTTGGCAGAGTATGTGGCACTGTCCACGGCACTGAGCCCGTCTGTGTGGAATGCCATGTGTCGTTAGCCAAGATCATCCGAGAGGCCCCTGGCACCAACATTGCCCCAGGGAACGGTTTTCTAGTATTTAAACCCAATTCCTCCTGACCCTGGGTGCTCTTAACAACTACTACGGTATCTGCTGCAGCAGCTCTGAGTGGACGGACTTCTTGGGATCTCCATTCTGTTCCCAGATGCTCTGTTGCTCTGGGAACCTGTCTGGCAAGAAATATGCATCTCCCTACCTGTAAGTCCGTGCTCTCTGAGCACTGGGCCTGTGCCTGACTGGTGCTGGGCTCCTGAGCATGGGTGCTACTCACACACACACATGCACACACAATCATATGTTCCTTCTTACAGAATGGTATGTACTTATATGCTTTCCCGGTGCTGGCTGGTTGGATCTCCCAGAATCCCCTTGGACTAGATACAACCAGTTTATTCTTCGTCTGCTGGTCCAATACTGTCCCTCTGATCTTTTTGGGGGTACAAATATCTGTTCTGTTTTTCCCAACCTAGAGGCCTCCTGTACCTCAGATCACCATAGCATATGGGATAGGGGTCACAGAGTCCCCACTATCACATGGTTGGTCCTAAAGGGTCAAACCTTGTTTCTGTGTCCCATGAGGCCCACAGAGCTGACACAGGCCAGGGCTTTCTGCTGCTTCCCCTCAGAGACTCCCCTCCCAGGGCCTGGGTTTCCTGAGATGGGTTCTGTTGGCCTGAGGGGTTTGTAAAGATTCTTCTGCTCTCTGTCCTTTTATGTAGTGAGGACACTGAACTGTGTTGACATGGGGGGGGGGCGGGGAGGTAGGCAGGTGAGGGTAGAGAACAAGCAGAGGGACCTGTACTGTCTCACTAGTTTGGTTTAAGCAGGGGACACTAGTGTCAGGCCTCCATGCCACTTATGTATCCCAGGTACTGAGGGCAGCACCTTGGAGGTGATGATCTCCATATCCTGTCTCATTTGTCACTGAGAACAAGTTCTCAGTCTGCTGCTGCTATTGAGTGACATTGCCACCACCCTCCCACATGCCTTGGGATTGCCCAGTGGACACCGATGATGTCTATGCTCCCCTAGGTATTCGAGGTCTGTTCTCTAGTAGTTGACACTAGATGTCACCAAATGCTGTGCCTAGTCCAGCATTGTCCCTTGGGTTGCACCTGAGACGCTAGAGAGCTAGTGCAGCTACCTGCCACCTCAGGGAAGTGGATCCAGATGTGAATCAGTGTGGGGTTACAGAGACAGAGCTGTGGATGATGGGCATCTCCATGTAGCTTAGCTGATGGGGGCAGGGTCACCAATCGTTTGCTTACTGGTAATTCTTGCTGTGGATCTTCTGGACTATTCCACAGTTAGGTGGGGAGAGTGTGGCCTGCCACAACACCATGCTGCTTCTGAGATAACTTGACACAGTAGTTGGTAGCTATCTAAGGACTTGAAGCCAAGCCACCTTCAGTGTGGGACCTGCTGGGTGGCTGCAGGTGTGACTCCCAGGTATGCACCTGGCCTG